ATTTGAAATTAGTTATAGCAATGAAACTTTATACACTTATTTAAACTATTAAGGTACACATTTATACAAAATATTTATACAAAAATTGAAGTTTCTATCTTAAATAAATCTCGAGTTATGAAACAATTTCTAAAAATTTCATACATACCAATACACGGAAAAGTAGTTACCGAAGAACCATGTTTCTATTGAGAAATTTGTTAGTCTCAACCTGAGGAACAATTGCATATAAAAATGTTCCAGAGAGTTCCGGGGCATTCTGTGTATACGAACGGGACGCCGTGTATAAACGAATCAAATTCTAATTTAAAAAATACAGAACATTCTTCTTATGGCGGAGTAACTGTGGGTATAAGTCGTCCTAATTAATACAACTCCAAGTTAAATAATAAAAAAATTATTACGAATAAGACAGCAGCATTATGGAATCTCTTGTTCATAAACACATAAAAAATCATATAACATATTTAAAATAGTAATAACCAGATTTCTGTGTTGAAAGGAAAGCATGGTACAAAACAAGTTACAGTCCATAGTATGATGTCTGAAGAAAACCCTATTAAAATAAAAAATTTTAACAATAAAACACGAAAAACAGGACATTTTAAACATGTTCTTAGCTGAGAGAAGGAATAAACTGTGATTTTACTCTTCATACAATATTTTCATTATCAAAGGATTATAGTTTTAAATCAATCTAATCGAGTTATGTTTGCATGAGAACATCAGTTTGTAGTTTTAATAAGAGTACAACCAGGTACAAGGTCAATAAGATGATACATTTGAAATATTTTGGTACCCCGATATAAAATATGCGTTATATATCTGATTTCAAAACGTATTCATATTTTACTATAAGGTTATAATAAATAACAGTTTATAAATTCATCTTTGTATGAAAAATTTAACAAAACATCATTCATTGGTTCTGTTTCAAAATGTTCAAAGAACGTATAAAGCAAAACCAAAGTCACATTTAATCTGTAATTTAATAAAAAAAACAATTTCCTCGTTATGATGAAGTCACAAGCTACTCAACAAACGTTGGCAGGTTTAGCTTCGAGGGACTATACTTTGTGTGACATGTTCAGAGACAATGCAATTAAAGTTATGACAGCAAAATCAACTAAATTGTATAAATTTACTTCGTCTCCAATAAACTATCTTTTCAATGCCGGAAGCGCTTCTTGAAAACGCAACTAAAGAACTAACTAAATTAAACTTATAATACAACAGTTTTCAGACTCGTGTGGGTGTAGATTTCGGAAGTTTTAATGGATAAAGACATAATGATTGATTGGCGTGGAGAAGAATAATTTTAAAATATGTGGCACATAGTCAATGCACACTGCCTTACAACTTTCCCTGTAGAATAGGTTTATTTTCTAAAACACCTGAGGCAGGGTGTCACTAAATTGCTATTTGACCTTCAGTGTTTGGTTTACTTACGATAGGTCATATTGTTTACTTTCAAAAGATGATAGTAGATCAAGCTATAAACTATGACGCCAATTATTATAACTAATAACTGTACTCATTGTCTTGGAAGAAAACATTGTAAGGCTCCAGAGATAAGTCCTAAAACGGATTCAAAACTTAGGAAACTGGAAGTAAAGGTGTAATCTGCGACAATGTTTACACAAATGTTCGAGCACATTCTCATTCTGTAACGCCTCATTTCCTGGGCCTCGCTTATCTTGCAGTTTGAACGTTCGTTTATTGAATACTGAAGAAAAAATCTACATGGGGTTTAATTTAATCTGCAAACATGTTTTTGTACATATAAGCACATGACTTCAAATTTTCATTTACGGCTAATAATTAATAGGAGCGTATTTTGCCTGGTTTGCTTCTTGGTGGGCTTACAGCGTAAATCAGCCTCCGAACCGTTGAATCTCGGTAGTGTTACATAGTTTAGACTGATGGTAACTGACGGTATTCTAACCAAGGCCACCAGTATAGAAGCCCCACCACATATTAACTTCATATTCACTTCAATTTTTGTTTATTTATAAAGTACTAATAATTTTGAAAGGACGATTTTAACCACAATTTTTCATAACTATAAGAATACTGTTATATGGTCTTGATTAATTTCATAAGTTTACACAACCAGAATTCCGATCTATAAAGCCACGTATTGGAGCGAAATAATCAAGGTTGGAGCAAAGTGTGTCACAGTCTGTTGTACTTGATGAATCCATAGAGTAATATAAGAGACAAACATCAAAGACCTACATACCTCTTTGTCTAAGAGTTTCTACAATGACACGTGGAATAGTGGTTTTAAAAATACGGATGTGGATATATTATTATTATAAACCTTAGTTAAACATTTATTTTACGAAAAAAGAGAGCTTGGCCACTCTATAAAGAAATAAATGTTTTTAATTGAGTTCATAACATTTGGTTATCCGAGATAATCCCTGTAAAACTATAATGGAAGATTTTCTTCAATAACGAAGAAGCTTTGGTTATGCGAAGGACATGTTTACAAATTGAAGTAACATCTGCAATTTAATAATTGTATTAATTGACAATATTACCTCGAAGGAATGGTTTCCATATGTGTATCCGATAGTCTTGGTTAATTCTTAACAAAGAGTTACACATAAATATTGAAATCCAATCGTAAACCTGATGACTGTACAATAAAACAACGTACCACAAAGTAAATTACTCAGTACTAAAAATCATATTATTCCAATTTTGATTGAAAACATCAAGTCAAATACAACACCTATAAACCGATCTAATCATCTAATAAAACGAAGCGGCACTCACAGATAAAACACACATAAACAGAATATCTAAACAGAACCAATCAAATTAATACCAAATTCACAAACGACAATATCGAATTAGTGTTTGCCACTGCATAAAACAGGATCCATTTGATTAGTAGGCGTTAAAGGGCAAAGTTAGGGTGGGGATTATGAGAACTGGACAGTCAGTGAAAGCAAACAACATCAATACCTCGCAAAAAAATGAGGACTCAGCCGTTTCGACGAGGCGCATCCACAACCTATAACATCGTATGAAATTTACTGTCGGACCAATTAATACTTGCTGTTTACTTAAGATAATACCTAAAGCATTTGTTTTGTGATAGTTAATTCACTAGAGTACACGAAGTAGTTCATTTAGTACACGAAGTATGAATACCCAATGCTCGTACGTGAGTTCGGATCCTGGTACCTGCTACTATTGTCAGTACAGTTCACTCTTGTAATGTATTGGCTGGGTACCATCTACGAATGGACTCGAGGCCTGTGTGGATGGTCAAATTCAATGTTTAAGTAGCCGTTACAAAAAAAAAACCATATTTATAAAATAAATTTAAGTAAAGGGCTACAGCTGGTCCCTTATAGTTGGTACGTCTACTTAGTACTTTTAACTAAAGAACCAGACATTACAAAACTAGTTAAAATCTTATAGCATTTGAAAGGAGTCTGAAGTAAATAATTTTAATTTTTACAATGTACAATGTAAATTTTAATTTTTTTTTACAATGTATGTGTGTATGGTTGTCATTGGACTTCCCATAATAGCATTAAAATAATATAATTATAAATTATATTATCATTCTAATATCATTCGTTAAACAGTCTAGGTTTCTGATAGTTTAAAGTACATTTTTAACAATGGAAAATAATTGACAGGAAAGAATTTATACAATTAAACCACTATGAAAAGGATTATTTGGATGAGTGCAAGCTGCAAATAAGTTATCACCTTTAAAATAATGAGGTGTATAAACCATAATCATTCAATGTTTTGGAGAGAGAGAGCTTCTCTTTCGTTTTATGCTTCTCTAAGATCAGGTAGCATACACTTTAATAGTTTGAATACTGATCACTTTTTAGTGTGAGCGTTTTTAGTTTTCTTTCACGTTTGCTATCAGGGTTCTCGTTTCTAAACATTCTTTTACAACCCAACTAAAATGTCTTATAAAATTTAAGGTTTGACTTATAACTTAGTCTTTAGCTTCAAAACCTTCTTAAGTAGTCATAAGAAACCAAAGGATCACTAAAACCCCTGAAAGCGAATCTAACCTGACATTTTGGTATTCGGTACTAAGAAATTAAAATAATCTATGAACAGTGAACTATAAATAAAGAACAAACATAAATTGATAAACATATTCATATTAGACATTCACAAATTAAACTTTCTTAATATGTTATCTCAAAGTAGTTAAACATTTTACTCTTAAGATTTACTCAAGGCCCGATGGATTGAGACGGTAGAGTATTGAACAATCAATCTCAATGCTGGCTGACCAACACTTCATCATGGTTATCTCGAATCCGGCACCCTCATTGAATTCCCGGGAATTCTTTGTATTTTATCGCAACCATGAGATATTTAAACCCTTAACAACTTAGAGGGAGTATGAGAACAAAATTGACTGAAGTAAAAAATGTCTATTCTGGACGTTTAAGTTTAGATAGATACAATATTATTGTAAAGTCTTACGTTTCGTGAACATTGGAAATAGAATATAGAGCAGCAAGAGTGGTAATTCATTTAAAATAGTTAACTATTAACTTGATTTAAATGTCAATTGTATGATGGTGTTTGTTTACAATGCAACTTACTATAAATAATTACAAAAAGTGGCCGTTAACATTGGTATAACTATTGTTTATCACTTCTGAAAAGTAATACGAAGACGCCAAAGTGGCTTAAGATGTAACAATATAAAAAAAACGTTAGAGACTGAACCCTATTTGAAATGGAAAAAAACAGAATTTTTTATACTAAATAAGCTAGTAAACCTTTTGGGAATATGGAGTCTTTATAACCTGTCCGAAAGTCTTTTCATCGATGCTAGAGGGGTAAATATTTGTTTAAGAGCAAGACTACAAGCATAACCTCAGGGGATACCTTTATTTTCTTGTAAAATGACTTACGGGTCTAATTTGAAAATAAATATGCTGGCCTGGCAAGTTTAAATTTATTTTACTTTAAAACTATGACTCTTGATAAGGACTTACTTGATATAATAAGATCTTCCATCGCTGTCGATAGCCTCCTCCCAGCCAAAGGGGAAGCCTCCGCTGTTGTCGCGAGCCCAGGCGTCTGCCGGCGGCAGCCACGAGGCAGTCTGCGTCAGGTGGCTGCAAAATACCACGTAGGTGAGTATATATATATATATATATATACTAGCTGACCCGGCGAACTTCGTATCGCCTAAGTTATAGGTTTACCCTAAGACAGACCGATGGAAAAGAAATAAGCAAATCACGTCCTGGTTGAAGTTCGTTCGCTACGCTCACTCACCTTTGGGTTGGAGCTCGTTCGCTACGCTCACTCACCTTTAGGTTGGAGCTCGTTCGCTGCGCTCACTTGCCTTCAGATTAGCTCGTTCGCTACGCTCACTCGCCTCCAGGTTGAAGTTCGTTCGCTACGCTCACTCACCTTTTGGTTGCAAATTAGCTGTTGTCATAAATGTAAAAGAAATAATAGTGCTGCACCCTATTGGTAATCCTTGTAACTTTAATGCTATTGAACATCATAGAACAGAACCAACTTGTTTAATTGAAACAGCTGTTAAGATTCATTAATTCCATTTCTCATAAGGTTAACATGGGAAACTCCAGAGCCACTGGTGCGGAGCCCTTTTAAGAATTTCGAAACGGGAAATAGTTTACGTCCGATTCGCATACCTACAGAATTTACACACCAAATTTCATAACGATCGGTGAAGTCGTTCCGGAGGAGTTTGCAGACAAACACTGTGACACGAGAATTTTATATATTAGAAGAAGAAGATATAACTGTTATGGGTTAAAATTAAACCTAGATTGACATGTTAGTAAGTGATGTATACAACTTTCGATAGTATTTAAGCTAAGGGTACGATCTTGAGAATGGTCTGCGGCATTTTTATGGCCCGCCAAAACTTGGCCAAGATGGGGAACTTTGGGTTTTTGTTTTTATAAATGGACCCTAGAGAAACAGCTCATATTATGGATTAACAAAGCTACACGTTAATCTCACTCTGTTCTGCACTAACCTTGTATTTAAATTCACCTTAAAATACGTTACCAGGGGCGTCTAACTGACTCAAAATAATAATAACAAGGAATAATGAGTGTCTGAATTCATGGCCCTGTGGGATTTTACGAGTTATGTGAATGCGTGGATTATAGGTCAAAACATATGAACCATAGCTTATATCATTGACTATTGAATATTCAAAGCTTAAAGTGAAAGGAGGGATTTTAGAATTAACTCAGTTAAAAACGAAACGATTATTATCTAAAAGCATTTTATTCCATACAACATTGAATCTGTTTGCCTCCATATAAAAAAGTCTACTGCCTCATTCAATTAAACAGGTAATTCATGGCCACTTTACGGTGGGTTATAAATGTCGAAAAATAACCCTCGTAGACGATTGTAAATGTTTTATAGCACTCGTTTACATTTAAAAGGCTCATTATTTTTAAATTAGTGGACCCCTATTGTAAAGGCAACTTTGATAACATTGAACGCTTAAAATCGTGCACAAATTGTAAATGAAACATTTAAGCTAGATGGAGGTAACGTAAGTTATTTTTAAAAAGAAAGCTTTTTAACTAAAATTACGCTTTACATTTTAATTTAAAATACTGAACACACACAACTTAGATATCCATGTTAATATTGCGGCCAGTTTATAATAAGAGAACTACACCAACTAGGCTGAAAAATTGTTTCAGATGATCAAAAAAATTTTACTGTTTTTATGTGACAAACAAGGAAGGTTCAAAACGGTGATTTTTGGACAAGTCATATTGAACAGGATTGTGTGCAAAATAAAAGAAAATATCTACAAAATATTTTTTATTAAAGAAAATAAAATATTTTGTAGATATTTTCCAATCCGGTATAAATCAACATACAACATACAACAACAACATATCAACATACAAGCATACAAGCATTCGCTGTAAAACTGTATTCGGACATATCAGACTGAAAGATGTGACCGATGAAAAGAAATAGCACATTGGGACTTTGATCTCCTTAGGGCATCTTTATTGTTGTCTTTCCTTCACATATCTCCCAGCCTATCTGTTTCCTCTTCTCCTTCTTCTTTATAAAAACACTTCTTTCCTCACAATATTCTTACTACACGGCCCTACGGTGACCGGATTAACATTGTTGGATTACCTTCTATACATATTTTTGACATGTAAATAACAAAAGATTAGATCTTGATCAAGCAATTTATTATTGATATAAACACCTTAAGATCAATTCAGTGAAATTTTTTTTGATGTAATTGTAAAAATCATTTAACTCATTTTTACTGAATATAGTAGAATAAACCTAATATATAGGTTGAGATTCAGTTTCATTTTCAACGTCGCAATGTCAAATTTCGTAATTAAATATCAGATACAGAATTAATGAAAAAAAACCTACTTTATGTTATTATATTAGCTATCTATTGGTATAGATGAAGAATTTTGCCTGTCACTAATGTTGATAGTTGTCATTACTATTAAGTATCAGTACTATAATCAATTAACACCTTTTTCTTCTTTAAAATGATAAAAAGCCAGTATTACATAAACATATAATCAAATACAAAAAAACTTTGAGTTCAAACCTCTCACTCGTACCAGAGACAGTTTAGCAAAAGACTTTAAAAGTTAATATACCTTTAAAGTTTCGTATGAGGGTTATAGTTAGCAAAATATACGAAACCTATTTTAAATCAACAACACGTTGCAAAAAATGTATTTACATTTGCATGAGTCAGTAATATTAGTGGCAATATGGCAATGCCTAGAGCAAGTACAATAAATAGGTCGACGAAGCCTGACAGCAGAGGTGTAAAGGTGTCTGCCCCAGGTAAGGTGTTAAGGTATAAGGTGTAAAGGTATAAGGTGTTATATTGACGTGCCGATATTGCCAAAGGCAGTTCTAAACCACCTGGAATATTCACAGGTCTATTTCCCATCATCTTCTACCATATACACTTTTGATAAGTTCATCACTTGTACAATTTGATTCAATGAACTTAAATACAAAAACAAAATTTACACTAACGTTTATCTTTCCAATCCTAAATATATACAATACTTCGTACCTTTATAAAGTGAGCAAAGGACAGCTAAAAAAGCTTACTAATCCATAAAAAATCCTTCATGTCTCTAAATTCGTAACTATCACATTAACATTAAATAATTAAAAAACCTGCCTTGATAAACTAACTTATTGTACACAAATAAACGTTACAACAAGGGTCTAAAAGCTTCCTGGCGGGAAGTAGGGAGGATGTTTATTTGGTGCTTAAAACTTAACTTTGGCCCTTAGAGACAAACAAATCTACTTTTGGCGATAAAGGTCTTCAAGAGACAACAAATGTATACATGAAATGGGTTACCAGTCTCACATAGACATACACGTATTTTTGTGTCTCAAAGATGGATTACTATACTCTTAGCATATTTATAGTTACTTCATTAGGTTTTGTTGGATGAAACTAAATACATAAATAAGATAAAATTATTAGACTTTATTCATGTGATAAATGGTACACACGATGTCGGATTGAATAAATAGAATGTACTGTATTTGTTGTTGGTTATATTATTTGATAGCTTGGGTTCTTTTTAAGTTTGGTCTTACACGTTTATTATCGAATACGTCTAACTTTTTGAAGAAACATCGAGAAAAAAATCAACAACATTAGTATAAAAAACCTCTACATTGTAACTTTTGAAAGAGTAGATATTTAAATTTCCAGATAATTCACAAGAGTGAAGGTAGATTTTAGATTTGAGAGTTCGCAATCACAGCAAATAAAAAAAAACAGCACATGCTTGATTACATCAAAGCAGATTAGCCTATGTTTCGTATTTTCCAAAAAGTGTACGCAACATCGAAACGACAGCAGCAAAGTTCATTACGATTACTGATTGTGCAAGCTCCATTGTGGGGAAACCCATCAAGAACTCTTGTACTGGGTATTCAAGTTTCTAACTACAATTCATCTTGAAAACATAATGGACAGTCATGCCTTTGTACAAAAATTGATTAAATGTTAGTCGAATCCAGAACCATTTGTAACGAGTTATTTTTCCTAGGGGGGTATATTTTCGCTATTTGGCCGCGTACCGATTGTAGAGGTAAGCAAGCGGCGGCGGCGAACCTAGCTAGCGCCCTTTGACCCGGCTTATCAGTGCCGATAAGCCTGGGATATCCTAGATGTTCAGGATAGCCTAGGACGGAGATTCTAGTCGTGGATCCCGTGCAGTGAACAGCTGGTTCGTGATTGTCGAGTGAGACGAGTAGTGCTTTGGTGACATCGGTGTGATATTGGCGCTCAAGGCGTGTTGGTGTCAAGTTGGGTAGTAAGTCAGTGACCCACTTGAGGTGAGTGGACGACTTGATATTATTAGTTTGATAATATTAATATCTGATTTATTTGCGAGGGTTAGAGTTGTAACCGTGCTAGTCAAAGCCTGACGATAGTTAGGATTTATTTATTAGTCAGGAATAATATTAAAGTATATTCCTGACGGTTCTGGGCAGGTGCTAGAGCGCAAATAATATAATTTATTGACTGTAGTAGTTATTATTTTGCGTTGTACCAAGAGTTAGTTATATTACTAATAACTCTGAGGCCCGACAAACCTAGGTTGCACGATTTAGCGTGCGTAGTTGGAAACACGTGGCCAGTAGGCTAGTAGCTAATATTATTAGCCTATTAACAGAAGCCCAGCTAAGTAACATAAAGTTGGTAGTAGCAGTAACAGTAGTAGGGTTGTTATTGTATATTCATTCGATTATTTTAATTTAATGGTAGTCCAACACGTTATCTTGGTAGCTTGGATAGCGGAGTACCGGCTATCAGATAATATATTTATCTAGTGTTTGGAACGTAGTTAATATTTATTCATCTGCTACTAAGTTGCTCAATAATTTTAATAGTGCAATTGCCATTTAGTTTTGCTTGTTTAGCTTGGTATTTATTGAGACCAGCTACTAGCGGTGTAGTCACTCTACCTATAGTGTACTTGTATATTATTATGTGGTACGATTATTGAGTGAACTGTTTGATTCTTAGCTTGGGCATTAGAGTTGTGTATTGGATTATAGTGGCCTAGTAGACCCCGCC